TACATTCTTTCCTCATAATATATCCCAGATATTTCAGATGTCTCTAATTGTTAGCAATAGCTTTCGTTTATCTTTTATTCTCTTTCGAACGTACTCATTATTAATTTTATTTTTATCATTTCACTCGAGCAAGGCACTACAGCCACTAAGACATAATTGATTAGTGAATGTTAGAGAATATGGAAAAAAAAGATTAAAGAGAGAGAACATTAAAAGGAGAGTAATTAAGAAGACAGTAGATAACGATTGACACTGCATTTAAATTTTTGAAAATCAAGAAACCGGAAGAGAGTTCCACAAGCGAGAAGTGCGATAGAACAAAATTACATCAAGCTATTTCCACTGTAAAATGATGAGACCTTGTCGCTAATCTAGTACTGCGCTTAAATTCATAAAACCTAGAGGGAAGTTCATCAGAACAATTACCATGAATGTTTTTATAGAAACGTCATAGGGAAGGTACAATTCGGCGGTGGGAAAGTGACTGAAGGCAAGATGCTAGGTCAAGACCAATATCATGGCAGAGTTTTCTTTCGATTTTATCGCATTCATTTAACCATCTTTTCATTCACTAGAATAATGTCAGCATTCCATCTTAGAATTTTAAGCAACATACGAAAAGCTAGACAACGTTGACCGAAATGAAAAAATAACAAATAAATAAATACTGAGAACATTTTTGTCATAAAAAAACGCTCCTGAAATAATGACATTACCTTGATTATTAAAATAGCTGAAGTAACATTTACCAAAGATGAAGAAATTTTACGAGAAAATAATTTTAAAACAAAATAATTAAGAATTTCGTTTAACGTCCCCAGGTTTTGTGAAAATCAGTATTATTTTTTTATTATATATATATATATATATATATATATATATATATATATATATATATATATATATATATAAAGGATGATGTGTGTGTGTGTGTGTGTGTAACGAATAAACGGCCGCAATTTTCGACGAATTTGCACTACATGCACATGCTCCAAGTTAAAGGGAAGGCCAAGACCAACTTTGCATTTCCCAACTCCCATCGATAGCGGAAATAATCGATTTTTTTTTTTTTCATGCTTCTACGGTAGTTTTCATGTAGTTTGCGGCCATTTTGTACTGGCCGGAGTGAGAGCCTATAGCTGGCTGCCACGAATAGGCAGGAAGATTCTATTGGCCAGCGTGAGCGCCAACAGCTGACTGACACGAATGTTAACTAGCATGTCAATTTATTTGCTCTTGATAATTACGAGGGGTGATAGATAAATAGGGTGTTCAATCCATCAAAAACGGTTTTACATCAGATAGAATAATTAAAACCATCCAAAACGGCGAAATCATTTCAGGCTCTCTGCACCTCCATTACAATTTCATTTTGTTTTGCTGCTTTGTTGCTGTTTAATTCAGCTGATTTCACTCCAGTCTCTAATATTTCTGATCGTTCAATATTTTTGTGTTTCCTCTTTCGTTGTGGAAGAGTTCTCCGATGTTTGAAGTATTTTTTCTCTGTTATAAGCATTCCCTCTTTTGTTTTTATGCAGCCTGTCGATGAGAACGTTTTTTGTCTTGTTATTTATCATTTTATTTTATTGATAGTGATTTTCCAAGCGTAGCTTAGATGTGGCACAAGCCCGAAAGAAAGGGGCACCCGGTGAGGGTCGAACTCACTACTCAGTCATAATTGTTTTAGCGAGACAAGCTTGCTAACCATTACACCGCCTGGAGTTGTCCATTTTATTTTATTGATATTTGCAATAACCGTGAAGCCGATTCTTTCTGTTTCTGCTCACTTTTCGTCGAACAATTCTTTTGTTCCATATCTGAATGTTTTTCTAATTCTTGCAATGTCTTATATTCTGTACTTTACCTTGGCATCGTTTGCTTTCCCGTTTTCATCATGTCAAGAATTTCTTCTGTTATCCGTTCTTTTTTGACATGTTTAGTTTTCTCTGAGATGATCTCGTTTGCTTCTTTTAATGTGTCTCACTTTGAGTTTCCATTCTCATTTAGTTCATTGTTGTAACACTTTCAGTATACATCCCTTCGCAATTCAAGTCATTCACGTCTCTCGTACAGAAATTTGTGTGCTACCTTAGACCTCTTTAGCTTCTGTAGTCTCACCCTTAGTTTATATATCACAGGAAGGTGGTTGCTCCTGTAATTGGCACTCGGGTATGTTTTACAGCATCAAACTACATTCCGGAATCTCTTATTAATCATTATATAGTCGATTTTCTTCGTTAGAGCTTCTCCATGTTCATAAACGTCTTGGATGTTCTTGAAACGATGTGTTGAGTGCGGCTTGGTCGTTTTCTATCCAATAATGGACTTATTTTTCCTACGTTCATCAAGAGTCCAAATTTGTTAACTATTTCACCATCTGCCTCCTTGCCTACATTAACATTCAGCTCTCCCATGACAATCGTAATTTCTTGCGGTTTTCATTACTCCTTGATTTTACCCAATGTACATTAAAACTTTTCAAAGTATCCCGTCATAACTTGTGCTTTCAATGCATACATAACTGCAATGGATATTTTAAAATGCCTCTTTCAGTTTAAGTACAAGAATTCTATCCGAAAATTGATAGCATCCCAGGGTATATTTCTTCATGTTTTGGTCTAGCATTAGTAGAAAATAAGTTTAAATTAAATACTAGTTACCAATAATAATTATAATAATACAATACACACAGACAGAAAATCAAAATTAATCACTAAGACATCATAATCCGAGACCAAGAATATAGAATGTGTTTTCATATTAATATGGCAGTCCTTGTAGATTGTAATGTGTCTTTGAAGATTTTCAAGAAAACTGTCAAAATACAAGCATCTTGAAGTCGAAATCTAAAAAGCGTTACACCTGAATAATTCCAGTCGTAGTTGGAGCCCTCGAATTGATTGGAAAAGATTCCGATAAACTCAATGAAAAGATTCCAGTTAGCACATGTCTTGAAGAAATACCAAAAATTGTACTTATAAGTACATCTCACATATTATAAAGAGCTTTATCGCTGTAAAAGCTGTTTCATCTTAGGTTTTTGTTTTATAATTTTTTAGAAATATGATAAGTGGAAAATGTCATGATGCCATTTCTGACCTCAGGTTTCTCATTGGAGCCCGGAAAGAATGTGTATGCAACAGATATGCAAGGAAATAATAATAATAATAATAATAATAATAATAATAATAATAATAATAATAATGTTTTTTTTTTGTTTTTTTTGGCCAGTGGAAAGTGTCAGTGTAATGTTCTAAACTTAGGTCCCTGGGTGCGACCCGGAAAGAAATGTGTAAACGCCAGAAATCAAAGAAAATAATAATAATAATAATAATAATAATAATAATAATAATAATAATAATAATAATAATATGGCACATGGGAACATCAACAATCACTGTTGTAGTTGGAGACCTCGGATTGGTTGGAAAAGATTCCAGTAGACTCATTGAAGGGATTCGTAGAACCCTATGTCTTAAAGAAATACAAAAATTGTTCTCACGAGTACAGCACACACCTTACGAAGAGCTTTATGTATGTAAAATATGGGTGTATGTGTGTGTTTTTTTAAATGGTCAGTAGAAAATATCATGATGCCATATCTGACCTTAGATCTCTGTGCGGGACTAAAAAAGAAATGAGTACACACCAGAAATCAAAGGAAATAAAAAAATAATAAGAATAAGTGGTTGGAACGTAGTATTTCGATCATGGTCGCTTTAACTTTATGATAATATCAACCAAGGAAGACGATCCCAACGTGCTATACTGTTGAAAATTATAGCATGGGTAGACACAAATATTGCAAGTGAAACTGGGTAAACAAAACTGTTTGGAAGCCGTTGATGGACATGCTAGCAAGTCATTGTGGCCGAGGGTTCGATCGTATAGACATTGTCAAACTACCAATCACAAACCGATTATACGCTATTATCTCCCAGAGACTGTAAGGTATGCTTAGTATGGTTGCAGTGCAATCAGTTTTAACGCCGAGGGCGGTGATAAAACACAAATGTGCCTATAGTCTCCCCGGAACAGGCGGATGACAGTTTTTACTTTAATACTAATTGTAGTTAGCCATGATTTAGCAATTAAAACGATAAAATTTAAATGAAAGAAAAATAATCGTGCAAATGAATAATAAATAAAAATTTAACATTTCTAATTCGAAGAAATAACAACTTTATTTTTTTTTTTACTTTCTATCAAAAAACTTTCCAATGACTTAATTATGTATTTTATCGTTTGCGGTTTGAACATTGAAATAAATAAAACATTTTTTGTTGCTGGACTTTGTTTTATAGAATATTCTGCTATTTCAATTAGATTGCTTGATTTTGTGTGATCAGACTCCAGTGTTGACGGCCATAAACATCCAAGCAAAGCCTTCAGACATAATTTTGTTAATTTCAACCCAATATTTGATGAGTTGATTAGTCGTTAATAAAATGTTTCCGTAATCTTGGAATAGTAATTATCATTAATGCTGCATTGAGATCATTAAGAATATCGATAACCATTTTAAATAATCGCAGTGAAAAGAAGGAAGGAAGGAAGGAAGGAAGGAAGGAAGGAAGGAAGGAAGGACAAGTGATAACAGATGAGTGATGGAAGAAAGAGGGGTTGGGAAGGAAGAAATGGAGGAAGGAAAGTAGGAAGGCAGACATTTTGGAAGGAAGGAAATACAGAAGAGAAGGACGAGTGTTGTTAGATGAGTAATGAAAGAATGAGAGGAGAAGGAAGGAAGGAAGGAAGGAAGGAAGGAAGGAAGGAAGGAAGGAAGTGAGAGAAGGACAAGTGATAACAGATGAGTAATGAAAGAATGAGAGGGAAGGAAGGAAGGAAGGAAGGAAGGAAGGAAGGAAGGAAGGAAGGAAGGACAAGTGATAACAGATGAGTGATGGAAGAAAGAGGGGTTAGGAAGGAAGAAATGGAGGAAGGAAAGTAGGAAGGCAGACATTTTGGAAGGAAGGAAATACAGAAGAGAAGGACGAGTGTTGTTAGATGAGTAATGAAAGAATGAGAGGAGAAGGAAGGAAGGAAGGAAGGAAGGAAGGAAGGAAGGAAAGGAAGGAAGGAAGGAAGGAAGGAAGGAAGTGAGAGAAGGACAAGTGATAACAGATGAGTAATGAAAGAATGAGAGGGGAAGGAAGGAAGGAAGGAAGGAAGGAAGGAAGGAAGGAAGGACAAGTGATAACAGATGAGTGATGGAAGAAAGAGGGGTTGGGAAGGAAGAAATGGAGGAAGGAAAGTAGGAAGGCAGACATTTTGGAAGGAAGGAAATACAGAAGAGAAGGACGAGTGTTGTTAGATGAGTAATGAAAGAATGAGAGGAGAAGGAAGGAAGGAAGGAAGGAAGGAAGGAAGGAAGGAAGTGAGAGAAGGACAAGTGATAACAGATGAGTAATGAAAGAATGAGAGGGGAAGGAAGGAAGGAAGGAAGGAAGGAAGGAAGGAAGGAAGGAAGGAAGGAAGGAAAAGAAGGACAGAAGAGTGATAACAGATGAGAGGATGGAATGAAAGAGGGGAAGAAGGGGAAGGAAGGAAGGAAGGAAGGAAGGACAAGTGATAACAGATGAGTGATGGAAGAAAGAGGGTTGGGAAGGAAGGAAGAAAGGAAGGAAGGAAGGAAGGAAGGCAGACATTTTGGAAGGAAGGAAAGAAGAGAAGGAAACGAAGGAAGGAAGAAGGAAGGAAAGAATGAGAAGGAAGGAAGGAAGGAAGGAAGGAAGGAAGGAAGGAAGGAAGTGAGAGAAGGACAAGTGATAACAGATGAGTAATGAAAGAATGAGAGGGGAAGGAAGGAAGGAAGGAAGGAAGGAAGGAAGGAAGGAAGGAAGGAAGGAAGGAAGGACAAGTGATAACAGATGAGTGATGGAAGAAAGAGGGGTTGGGAAGGAAGAAATGGAGGAAGGAAAGTAGGAAGGCAGACATTTTGGAAGGAAGGAAATACAGAAGAGAAGGACGAGTGTTGTTAGATGAGTAATGAAAGAATGAGAGGAGAAGGAAGGAAGGAAGGAAGGAAGGAAGGAAGGAAGGAAGGAAGAAGGACAAGTGATAACAGATGAGTAATGAAAGAGAAAGAGGGGAAGGAAGGAAGGAAGAAATGGAGGAAGGAAAGAAGGAAGGAAGGAAGGAAGGAAGGAAGGAAGGAAGAAGAGAGGAAGGAAGTGTAACAGATGAGGAATGAAAGAATGGAGGAAGGAAGGAAGGAAGGAAGGAAGGAAGGAAGGAAGGAAGGAAGGAAGGACAAGTGATAACAGATGAGTGATGGAAGAATGAAGGAAGGGGAAGGAAGAAATGAAGGAAGGAAGGAAGGAAGGCAGGAAGGAAGGAAGGAAAACAGAAAGAAGAAGGACGAGTGTTGTTAGATGAGAATGAAATGAAAGAATGAGAGGGGAGAAGGAAGGAAGGAAGGAAGGAAGGAAGAAGGAAGGAAGGAAGGAAGGAAGGACAAGGATAACAGATGAGTGATGGAAGAAAGAGGGGTTGGGGAAGGAAGAAATGGAAGGAAGGAAAGAAAGGAAGGCAGACATTTTGGAAGGAAGGAAAGAACAGAAGAGAAGGACAAGTGTTGTTAGATGAGTAATGAAAGAATGAGAAGGAAGGAAGGAAGGAAGGAAGGAAGGAAGGAAGGAAGGAAGGAAGGAAGTGAGAGAAGGACAAGTGATAACAGATGAGTAATGAATGAATGAGAGGGAAGGAAGGAAGGAAGGAAGGAAGGAAGGAAGGAAGGAAGGAAGGAAGGAAGGAAGGACAAGGATAACAGATGAGTGATGGAAGAATGAGGGGGGAAGGAAGAAATGGAGGAGGAAGGAATGAGAGAAGAATTTTGGAAGGAAGGAAGGAAGGAAGAGAAGGACGATTGTTAACAGATGAGTAATGAAAGAATGAGAGAGAAGGAAGGAAGGGAAGGAAGGAAGGAAGGGAAGGAAAGAAGGACAAGGATAACAGATGAGTAATGAAAGAAAGAGGGGTTGGGAAGGAAGGAAAGGAGGAAGGAAAAGAAGGAAAGGAAGAATTTTGGAAGGAAAGTAGAAATACTGAAAGAAGGAGGGTTGTTAGATGAGTAATGAAAGAATGAGAGGAAGGAAGGAAGGAAGGAAGGAAGAAAGGAAGGAAGGAAGAGAAAGAAGGACAAGGATAACAGATGAGTAATGAATGAATGAGAGGGGAAGGAAGGAAGGAAGGAAGGAAGGAAGGAAGGAAGGAAGGACAAGGATAACAGATGAGTGATGGAAGAAAGAGGGGTTGGGAAGGAAGAAATGGAGGAAGGGAAGGAGGAAGGCAGACATTTTGGAAGGAAGGAAATACAGAAGAGAAGGACGAGGTTGTTAGATGAGTAATGAAAGAATGAAGGGAAGGAAGGAAGGAAGGAAGGAAGGAAGGAAGTGAGAGGAAGGAGGAAGTGATAACAGATGAGAAATGAAAAATGAAAGAGAAGGAAGGAGAGGAAGGAAGGAAGGAAGGAAGGAAGGAAGGAAGAAGGAAGGAAAGAAGGACAAGGATAACAGATGAGTAATGAAGGAAGAAAGAGGGGGAAGGAAGAAAGGAAGAAATGAAGGAAGGAAGGAAGGGAAGAAAAAAGAAAGGAAGAAGGAAGGAAGGAAGGAAGGAAGAAGAGAAGACGAGTGTTGTTAGATGAGTAATGAAAGAATGAAAGAGGAGAAGGAAGGAAGGAAGGAAGGAAGGAAGGAAGGAAGGAAGAAGAAGGAAGGAAGGAAAGGAAGGAACAGAAGATGAAAGAATGAAATGAAAGGAAAGAAGGAAGGAAGAAGGAAGGAAGGAAGGAAGGAAGGAAGGAAGGAAGAGAAGGAAGGAAGAAAGAAAGAAATGAAAGAATGAAGGAAGGAAGGAAGGAAGGAAGGAAGGGAAGGAAGGAGGGAAGGAAGGATGAGGAAGGAAGGAATGGGAGAAAAGGAAGAAAGGAAGGAAGAAAGGAAGGAAGGAAGAAGGAAGGAAGAAAGAAAAGGAAAGAAGGAATGAAGAATGAAGGAAGGAAAGAAGGAAGGAAGGAAGGAAGGAAGGAAGGAGGAAGGAAGGAAAAGAGAGAAGGACAAGTGATAACAGATGAGTAATGAAAGAATGAGAGGGGAAGGAAGGAAGGAAGGAAGGAAGGAAGGAAGGAAGGAAGGAAACAAGTGATAACAGATGAGTGATGGAAGAAAGAGGGGTTGGGAAGGAAGAAATGGAGGAAGGAAAGTAGGAAGGCAGACATTTTGGAAGGAAGGAAATACAGAAGAGAAGGACGAGTGTTGTTAGATGAGTAATGAAAGAATGAGAGGAGAAGGAAGGAAGGAAGGAAGGAAGGAAGGAAGGAAGAAGGACAAGTGACAGAAGGACAAGAAAGAAACAGATGGGAAGGAAGGAAAGAAGGAAGGAAGGAAGGAAGGAAGGAAGGAAGGAAGGAAGGAAAAGAAGGAGGAAGATAAAGATGTTAATGAAAGGAAGAAAAGGGGTTGGAATTTTGGAAGAAAAGGAAAGAAGAAAGAAGGAGAAGGAAGGAAGGAAGGAAGGAAGGAAGAGAGAAGGAAGGAAGTGATGTTAGATGAAGTAATGGAAAAGAATGAGAGGAATGAAGGAAGGAAGGAAAGGAAGGAAGGAAGGAAGGAAAGAAGGAAGGAAGGAAGGAAGATGAAGAAGAAAATGGAAGGAAGAAAGGAAGAATGAAGGAAGAAAAGAAGGAAAGGAAAGAAGGAAGGAAGGAAGGAAGGAAGGAAGGAAGGAAGAGAAGGAAGTGTTGAAGAATGGAAGAAGAGAAAGAATGAGAAGGAAAGGAAGGAAGGAAGGAAGGAAGGAAGGAAAGAAGGAAGGAAGGAAGGAAGGAAGGAGAGAAGGAAAAAAAGGAATAACAGAGAAGAAATGAAAGAAGAAAGAAAGAAGGGAGGAAGGAAGGAAGGAAGGAAAGAAAGGAAGGAAGGAAGGAAGGAAGGAAGGTAAGAAGAAGGACAAGTGATAACAGATGAAGGAATGAAATGAAGAATGAAGGAAGGAAGGAAGGAAGGAAGGAAGGAAGGAAGGAAGGAAAAAAGGAAGGAAAAGTGATAACAAATGAAGGATGGAAGAAAGAGGGGGGAAGGAAGGAAGAAGGAGGAAGGAAAAGGAAAAGAAAGGGGAACATTTTGGAAGGAAGGAAATAAGAAGAAGGAACGATTGTTGTTAGATGAGTAATGAAAGAATGAGAGGAAGAAGGAAAGAAGGAAGGAAGGAAGGAAGGAAGGAAGGAAGGAAGAGAGAAGGACAAGTGATAACAGATGAATAATGAATGAAAGAGGGGAAAGAAGGAAGGAAGGAAGGAAGGAAGGAAGGAAGGAAGGAAGGAAGGAAGGAAAGAAAAGGGAAGGATAACAGATGAGAATGGAAAGAAGGAGAGGGGAGAAGGAAGGAAGGAAAAGGAGGAAGGAAAGAATGAAGGAAGATTTTGGAAGGAAAAACTGAAGAGAAGGAAAGAATGAAGGAAAATGAAGGAAGAGGAAGGAAGGAAGGAAGGAAGGAAGGAAGGAAGGAAGGAAGGAAGGACAAGGATAACAGATGAGTGATGGAAGAAAGAAGGAAGGAAGGAAGAAATGAAGGAAGGAAAGAAGGAAGGAAGGATTTTTGGAAGGAAGGAAAGGACAAGAAGAGACGGAAGGTTGTTAGATGAAGTAAAGAAAGAATGAAGGGAGGAAGGAAGGAAGGAAGGAAGGAAGGAAGGAAGATGGAAGAAAAGGAAGGAAGGATGGAAGGAAGGAAGGAAGGAGAGAAGAAAGAAGGAAGGAAAACAGAAAAGAAAGAAATGAATGAGAAGGAAGGAAGGAAGGAAGGAAGGAAGGAAGGAAGGAAGGAAGGAAGGAAGGAAGTGAGAGAAGGACAAGTGATAACAGATGAGTAATGAAAGAATGAGAGGGGAAGGAAGGAAGGAAGGAAGGAAGGAAGGAAGGAAGGAAGGAAGGAAGGAAGGAAAGAAGGACAAGTGATAACAGATGAGAATGAAAAGAAAAGGGGTTGGGAAGGAAGAAATGAAGGAAGGAATGAAGGAAGGAAGGAAGGAAGGAAAAAAATACTGAAGAAGGGAGGAAAGTGTTGTTAGATGAGAAATGAAAGAATGAGAGGAAGGAAGGAAGGAAGGAAAGGAAGGAAGGAAGGAAGGAAGGAAGGACAATGATAAAGATGATGACTGAAAATGAAGGAAAAAGAGGGGAAGGAAAGGAAGAAGAAGGAAGGAAGAAAGGAAAGGAAGGAAGAGATGAGAAGAAAAAATGAATGGAAGGAAGGAAGGGAAGAAAGGAAGGAAAAAGGAAAAGAGAAGGAAGAAGGATGAAAGGAAAGGAAGGAAAGGAAGGAAGGAAGGAAGGAAGGAAGGAAGGAAGGAAAAAGAAAGAAAGAAAGGAAATGAAATGAGATGAAGTAATGAAAGAAAGGAAGGAAGGAAGGAAGGAAGGAAGGAAGGAAGGAAAGAAAAACAAAGGATAACAGATGAGTGATGGAAGAAAAGGGTTGGGAAGGAAGGAAATGAAGGAAGGAAAGAAGGAAGAAAGAATTTTGGAAAGAAGGAAGGAAGAAAGGAAGGAACGAACTGTTGTTAGATGAGTAATGAAAGAATGAGAGGGGAAGGAAGGAAGGAAGGAAGGAAGGAAGGAAGGAAGGAAGGAAGTGAGAGAAGGACAAGTGATAACAGATGAGTAATGAAAGAATGAGAGGGGAAGGAAGGAAGGAAGGAAGGAAGGAAGGAAGGAAGGAAGGAAGGAAGGAAGGAATGAAGATCAGAAGGAGGAAGAAAGGAAGGAAGGAAGGGAAGGAAGGAATGAAGGAAGGAGGAAAGAATGAAGGAAGGAAGGAAGGAAGGAAGGAAGGAAGAAAAAAGAAGGAAGGAAGGAGAAAGGAAGGAAGGAAGGAATGCCAGGAAGGAAGGAAGGAAGGAAGGAAAGGAAAAGAAAGGAAGGAAGGAAGGAAGGAAGGAAGGAAGGAAGGAAGGAAGGAAGGAAATGAAGGAAGGAAAGAAGGAAAGGAATGTTGGAATGAAGGAAGGAAAGAATGAGAGGAAGGAAGGAAGGAAGGAAGGAAAGAAGGGAAAAAAGAAGGAAGGAAGTGAACAGAAAGGAAGGAAGGAAAGAAGGTTGGGAAAAGAAGGAAGGAAGGAAAGAAGGAAGGAAGGAAGGAAGGAAAGAAGGGAAGAGGAAGGAAGAATGAAGGAAGAAGATGAGAAATGAAAGAGGAAGGAAGGAAGGAAGGAAGGAAGGAAGGAAGGAAGGAAGGAAGGAAGGAAGGAAAGAAGGAAGGGAAGGAAGGGAAAGAAAGAAAGGAAGGAAGGAAGGAAGGAAGGAAGGAAGGAAGGAAAAGAAAGGAAGGAAGGAAAAGAAGGAAAGAAAGGAAAGAATGAAGGAAGATGAAGGAAAAGAAGGAAGAAGGAAGGAAAAAGGAAGGAAAGAAGGAAGGGAAGGAAGGAAGGAAGGAAGGAAGGAAGGAAGGAAGGAAGGAAGGAAGGAAGAGAAGGAAAGAAGGAAAGAAAGAAGAAGGAAGGAATGAAGGAAGGAAGGGAAGGAAGGAAGGAAAGGAAGAAGGAAGGAAGAAGGAATGAAGGAAGAAAAGGAAGGAAGGAAAGTTTTTGAAGGAAGGAAGGAAGGAGAAGGAAGGAAGGGGAAGGAAGGAAGGAAGGAAGGAAGGAAGTGAGGAAGGAATGAGTAAGAAAGAATGAGAGGGAAGGAAGGAAGGAAGGAAGGAAGGAAGGAAAGGAAGGAAGGAAAAAGAGAAGGAAGGAAGATGAGGAAGGAAGGAATGAAATGAGGAAGAAAGGAAGGAAGGAAGGAAGGAAGGAAGGAGAGAAGGAAGGGATAAAAGATGAGTAATGGAAAAAGGAAGGAAGGAAGAAAAAGGAAGGAAAGGAAGGAAGGAAGGAAGGAAGGAAGGAAGGAAGGAAGGAAGGAAGGAAAGAAGGAAGGAAGGAAGGAAGGGAAGGGAAAAGGAGAAGGAAGGAAGGAAGGAAGGAAGGAAGGAAAGGAAGGAAGGAAGGAAGGAAAGGAAGGAAGGAAGAGGAAAGATGAGTAAGAAAGAATGAGAAAGAAGGAAGGAAGGAAGGAAGGAAGGAAGGAAGGAAGGAAGGAAGGAAGGAAGGAAGGAAATGAGAGAAGGAAGGAACAGAAGGAAGGAAAGAAGGAAGAGGAAGGAAGGAAAGGAAGGAAGGAAGGAAGGAAGGAAGGAAGGAAGGAAGGAAGGAAGGAAGGAAGGAAAAAAGAAGGAAGGAAGGAAGGAAGAAAGGAAGGAAGAAAGAAGAAAGGAAGGAAGAAAGGAAGGAAGGAAGGAAGGAAGGAAGGAAGGAAGGAAAGAAATGAAGGAAGGAAGGAAGAAGGAAGGAAGGAAGGAAGGAAGGAAGGAAGGAAGGAAGGAAAAAGGAAGGAAAGAAAGGGAAAGGAAGAAAGAAGGAAAGAAGGAAAGAAAGAAGGAAGGAAGGAAGGAAGGAAGGAAGGAAGGAAGGAAGGAAGGAAGGAAGGAAGGAAGGAAGGAAGGAAGTGGAAGGAAGGAAGGAGGAAAAGATGAAAGAATGAAAGAAGGAAGGAAGGAAGGAAGGAAGGAAGGAAGGAAGGAAGGAAAGAAGGAAGGAAGGAAGGAAGGAAACTGAGGAAGGAAAGGATAACAGATGGAAAGAAGGAAGGAAGGAAGGAAGGAAGGAAGGAAGGAAGGAAGGAAGGAAGGAAGGGAAGAGGAAAAGAAAGGAAGGAAATAAAAGGAAGGAAGGAAGGAAGGAAGGAAGGAAGGAAGGAAGGAAGGAAGAAGGAAAGGAAGGGAGGAAGGAAGGAAGGAAGGAAGGAAGGAAGGAAGAAGGAAGGAAAGGAAGGAAGAGAAGGAAGGAGGAAGGAAAGGAAGAAAAAAGGAAGGAAGGGAGAAGGAAGAAAGAAGGAAGGAAGGAAGAAGGAAGAATGAAAGAATGAAGGAAGGAAAGGAAGGAAGGAAGGAAGAAGGAAGGAAGGAAGGAAGGAAGGAAGGAAGGAAGGAAGGAAGGAAAGGAAGAGAAAAAGAATGAGGGAAGGAAGGAAGGAAGGAATGAAGGAAGGAAGGAAGGAAGGAAGGAAGGAAAGAAGGAAAGAAAGGAAGGAAGAAAGGAATGAATGAAGGACGGAAGGAAGGAAGAAAGAAAGGAAGGACGGAAGGAAAGAAGGAAAGAACAAAAGGAAGGAAGGAAGAGAAAGGAAAAAGGAAGGAAAGAAGGAAGGAAGGAAGGAAGGAAGGAAGGAAGGAAGGAGG